ACAAGGACAGTCCCCGACCCCCACCACGACAAAGAATTATCTGGCCCCAAATGCCAACAGTGCTAAGGTTGAGAAAGCCTGCTCTAGAGTCAGCCTGCCTGGGGTTCAAGTCACTTATAATCTGTATAGCTGTTGGTAAATTATTTTACATGTTTGTGCTTATTGAGTGTCTTCAACAATAAAATTAAAATAAATAAGGCCGGGCACGGTGGCTCACGCCTGTAATCCCAGCACTTTGGGAGGCCAAGGCGGGTGGATCACAAGGTCAGGAGATCGAGACCATCCTGGATAACACAGTAAAACCCCATCTCTACTAAAAATACAAAAAATTAGCTGGGCGTGGTGGCGGGCACCTGAAGTCCCAGCTACTTGGGAGGCTGAGGCAGGAGAATGGTGTGAACCTGGGAGGCGGAGCTTGCAGTGAGCTGAGATAGTGCCACTGCACTCCAGCCTGGGCGACAGAACATGACTCTGTCTCAAAAAAAATAATAAATAAATAAATAAATAAAATTAGAATAAATAATAACAATATTCATTTTATTGATTTTTTATGATAATAAAATAAATTACACAAGAAATGAGCTAAGGACAATGTCTGGAACAAAGCAAGTGCTCAACAAATGTTTGCTTTTGTTATCATTATATGCATTGAAAAAAAATTGAGAATACACCAAAATTTTAACAGTGATTGTTTCTAGGTGGCAAGATCATGACTGATTTTTATTGTCATTATCTTTTTATACTGCTTTATATTTTCCAAATTTTCTAGAATGATATTTGTATTAATCTAATATCCAAAAACATGTTTTAAAAGAATGCAGACAAAAGAACTTTACTTGTGATATAGTAAAAAAAGCACAGAATTTAAAAAGACCTAGATTCAGATCCTGACTCTACCTGCCGTCTGTGGACATTGAACAGGTAAGTTAATCTCTTTGAGCTTCAGTTTCCTCAGCGAAAATTGGGGCTAATAATGCATATCATAGAGAGTTGCTATGAGAATTAAACATGACAGACATGCAGTGTCTGGAAGAGTATACTGAATGAAAGGCTCCAGGAGATGACTGCTTTAAAGGTTTGGTCAAGGGAAAATGACTCTACAAACAGGGAAATATATTAATGATGGTAACTCCCCTTTTGCCTTTTATTTTTTGGTTTTTGAGATAGGGTCTTGCTTTGTCACCCAGGTTGGAGTGCAGTGGAGCGATCACCGCTCACTGCACCCTCAACCTCCCAGGCCCATGCAATCTTCCCACCTCAGCTTCCTGAGGAGCTGGGACCACAGGTGCATGCCACCACACCCAGCTATTTTTGTAGATCTCCCTGTTTTTTTTGTTTTGTTTTGTTTTTGTTTTTGTTTTTGAGACGGAGTCTTGCTCTGTCACCCAGGCTGGAGTGCAGTGGCACAATCTCAGCTCACTGCAACCTCCACCTCCCGGGTTCAAGCAATTCTCCTGCCTCAGCCTCCCGAGTAGCTGGGATTACAGGCACCTGCCACCATGCCCAGCTAATTTTTGTATTTTTAGTAGAGATGGGGTTTCAGCATATTGGCCAGGATGGCCTAGAACTCCTGACCTTAAGTGTTCTGCCCACCTCGGCCCCCCAAACTGCTGGGATTACAGGCATGAGCAACCATGTCTGGCCTAAGGTCTCCCTATGTTTAGGCTGGTCTCAAATTCCTGGGCTCAAGCAATCCTCCCGCCTTAGCCTCCCAAAGTACTGGGATTACAGGTGTGAGTCATGGCGCTCAGCTTCCCTTTTCCTTTTTAAACCATCCTCTCAGAGATCACAACTCCCATGTCATCCAATTTTTTGCCTTGGCTGATAGAGAAGAAACTATGTCCACACTCTGGTCTTTCTCTTTTCTCTCCCCTCCCTATATACACCCTAGAAATGGATTTGATCATTCTCCTGGCAGGCCCTGACTCATTTGGCAGGGTTTACTTGCAGGCAAGCTGTTGTGTCTGAAAGGCAGGACTCAGGTATCACTTTCTCATATTCTTCACCCATGCTCATTGTCCCTCTTCTTATTTCTGCTTTCACCCTTCACCTCTAGGTTGAAATCATACTTGGCAAGGCCTCTCCTCGAGGGGAAGCCTCTCCACTTTCTCTCCCTCTGTTCTATCCCATTTAGCTGGTTGAGTAGGTTGCCCCCTTTTAGATTCCAGAAGGATGCGTAGGAAGCGCAGCTAGGCTTCCAGATCCATGCCTCATGTGTGTGCTAGCCCTGCTTATCTGAGAAGCCCTGCATGTGTGGGGGCATGTAGCACTTGCCAGCTGGTTTGTGCTTCCATCAGGGCTGTTGTCTCTTTTGTGCAGCTTGCTCAGCAGGTAATGCTTGAGGTGAGCAGCATGAGCTGGTAGAATTCAAGGACCCACACCTTATCCATAACCCCTTAATGATTTAATTAGATGGAAAAATCATGGGTTATATTTGTGTGTATTATCAGGAGGGTGACTATTTTAAGCCTTACTATCTTGCTAACTTGAATTTAAATCCTGACCAAGCTTTCAAAATGCCCCAGGACAATCTTCTTCATTCAGAACAATCTTCTTCAGTCATGCCATGGTTTGGGAAAGGCAGTCTGATCCTAACCCACACTGACCCTCAAGATCCCAGAGTTCCCTAGGAAAGAGTCCTGCAGTCCTGTGAGCTTTCTATACAGAGTTCTAAGCACTGGGAGCCAGACTGAATTAGGAGAGAATTGCCTGGGGCAGGAGTTGACTTCTCAAGACATTCACTCTCAAACTGAGTTGAACTGTTTCAACACTTGGAGATGGGACCACGCAAAGCATCAGAGGAAAATAAGACTGTTGGGGTGCTTCCATCTAGATATGAATAAAAATATCAGGAGAACTTCATTCTAAATGTAAATAAAAATGTCAGGCGGAATGGTGATCTCCAGGAAATAATTTATGTATACTTTCTAAACTCTAATTTGCTGCTGCTCCAGGGCCAGTCTAACTATATAAACTTCAGGCATAATTTTGACTGTTACCAAGTTCTTACTACACATGTGTCTCCTCACTGTCCTCCCTATAAATACATGCAAAATGAAACAGGCATGGACTCCCAAATTGGCACCAGCAGAATACTGTCATTGTTTTGAGTCTTCTCAGACTTCATTCACAAGAGTATATTGAGAGCTCACCATAAATCAGGCCTAGTGGTAAGTGCTAGAAATCCAAAGAGGAAAGGATACTGTCCCTCAAGAAGCTCACTCATGTGACTATAATAGCATAAAAGTGTTACTTGTCCCAGGGAAACATAGATTTCAGCAGGGATCAAAGGCTTAAGCTAAAAGACTAAAGTTCAATATTGTGGAGGACACAATTACTTTTTAAAGTACTGCGCAATGAAACCCTGAAGGGAACTAGTAACTTTTCAGTTTTTCCATAGCTTATAGGAATCAGATCAGTCATCTTTTATTATCAAAGGCCAGAAGGAAATCCACACAGACCAAAAAAGGAAATCTTTATATCTCAGAAATTTCTAGCAGTTAAAAAAAGTTATTAGCAAACCCCTCTTATACCCTTAAAAACCTAAAATAATTTGCAAAAGAAACCTATTCCCTTATTTTAAGGTATAATATCATTGTAAAACAATAAATCCAGTCAGTTTGATATTACAGTTTATACACATAGTTTTAGAAGTTTTTAATCTATTTATTTTATTTTGAGAACTAGGTAGGTGCTTTTAAAGACAACATGCTTAGGCTGGCCTTGCCGGGTTCTGAGGATGGAAGAGTGTTTCTAGGTTCGATTTTTTAAAAAACCCATGACATAATTCTAGATTTCTTTTTCTTTAGACATCAATTGGTCACCATAGTAACATAGCATTTTACTACAGAGATCTATACAGCACAAGGGAAACAGAACAGCAATTACTTATTGGGTTACTTGGGGGTACAGAATGTGACCACAGGGATAATTTAAGATTAAATATAGATTTCTCTGGGGATCTGTTTTAGCAAAGCAAGCTGATTCAATCTTCTAGTAGCGTCAGTTGAATGAAATTTGAAGCCAAATTGACTGCTGACATCATTTGAAATAATATGAGGAGGCAAGCAGCATAGCTCAGTGGTTAAGAGCACAGGCTTTGGGGTCAAGCTTCATAGGTCCAAGTTCTGTTTCTACTATTTGCTAGCTGTGTGACCTTGGGAAAGTTCCCTAACTTCTCTGTGCCTCTGTTTCTTCATCTCTAAAATGTGGGTAATAAAACCTTCCTCAAAGGGTTTTTATAAGGATTCAATGACTGTTTGTGCTTAGAAGAGTGCCTTGCACATCAGCAAGAACTTTCTTAAGTATTTGTTAAATAAAGACATACTAAAATTTAAAGGGGCTCATCTCTTTGTGCTGAAAATAGTCAAAGACATGAAAATTTGAGTTCATGGCTGATTATTTTAGCCTGTAACTTTGATAGATTCCTTTGAGAACTTCCCCAGGGTCTTGTGGCTAGCAATTCTACAAGATGTGAAATTCTGTGGCAGTCTACTGTCCTAAATCAGAGCTCGGAACAATCACAAGCAGGCCTGGTACCAGGAACATCAGAAGGAAGATGATCGCACAGCACAAAGGAACAGCATGCCTGCCCACTTTGGCTCCCCAAGCCACTGCCAATAACCTCTGGGCATAGCATAAGCAGCTGAAAAGGGATGAAACACGCTTTTATTGCAGTGATGCTGAAACCTAGTTGGTTTCGGTAATTTTTTCCCCTCTTTCCAGGATTCAAGGGGAAAAAATCCTTTTCATCAATGAGTGCTTTGTTTCATTAATTATCACCATACACCATTTCCATTCAATTTTTCACAGGCACATACTCTGACGAATTTTCATTTTACAGAACTACCTAGGCATCTTTTCTGGACTGGTAACAAACCTAAAGCCTCTAACCAGCATCTAAGGCAGGACAAAATCTCCAAATTGCCTGGAAAAAAATAAGGCATTATGTCCTCTGAGCCAAATTTCAGTCGCAATACCAAGGGATTCCTATCACATACCTTCATCCGGACTTGATTTCAGAGACGTTCTCCTTAGATCTTCTTGGTCAGGAATAGCCCTTGCATACGAGTTTGGAGAATGCCATAAACCACCAGGAAAGCCTGGAAACACATTCATTTCTGTCCTCTGCCTTCCCCTTGGCTCACAGCCTGCTTCCTGTTAGGGAGACAAGATGACGCTGTGCAGGGTAGACTGTTAAACCATCTTCCCGCCCCCAGCCCCACTCTCTTGTTGCCCCTCCTTTCTCCTTTCCAAGGCTCTGGAATGTGTCACATGGGAAATGGATCATGTGGCTGAAGGGGAGAATGTGGCCATCTTCTCCCTCCCTTCCCCCACTTTTCCTTTCAGGAGCAAAGCAGCAGAAATCTCTGCCCTGATTGGCTCAGACCAAAAATCTCCATATGAAAAGGGGAAGATTCAATCACCCAAACCTCCTTCCTTCTCTATTTTCTTTTTTTTCTATCTGAAGCTTTTATCCTGACCATTCAGAGTTGCTCAGTATGGAAGATAAATGATGCTTTCTTAACCTCAACCCCTCTCTTTCTTTCTTACAGTCAGTACCCTGACCTGGCAAGGTGTTCCTTAACCTGCCCTCTGGATCCCCCTTAGCACACATCTGGGACAATGGAGTGTTCAGCACCACGGACAGCATTACACCCCCTTCAGTGCTTGTTAAAGCCATTTGTCTATTTCACTCTCAAGTAAATAACAATATTTTAAAAAATTTCCCTGAGGTCCTGTGCCTAAATATAAACCACATCATATGTTTAGGGCTCTGACTTCCCCTACTATCAGTTTACTGTTACCTTATAAACACAAACATAATTTTTATATTTCCTTAAACCCAAAAGACTATCCCATATCTACCTCCCTGTCCCCATTCCATCACCCATCCTCACCCTTTAAATATAATCTATGTTTTTTGTGTGTGGGGGGGGGAGGGAGATTTCTGTAACATAGTTTACTGTATGCCCAAGTATCTGTGCTTATGGGGAAAACCACAGAAACACACAGGAATTCTGGGGTATACAAGTCTAGATGTTGATAGCCCCATCCCTAGGTCTCAGGTAAGGCTGAAGTGGAGAGGCAGGGAGGGAGCCTGGTTGGAGCTGTTTTGTGCAGGGTCTATCCTGCTTTGCTGACGTCCTCGTTGCCATGGTGCTAGGTAACTGCTGAAGAGGATGATTTCTTTTAAAACCGGTCACCATGGGACCCTGCTGACTAAAGAAAGGAAGAGGGAAAAGGGCTGAATTGCTGAGGAGGGATTTCAACTAGCATTCTCAGAGCCAAATTGGATTGCTCTTGGTCCTCAATCTTGAAAGGAATCTAGGAATTAGTATGGACACTGCAATAGTTACTCTCCCCATCCTCCACTGCTTCTTTCCTTCAAAATCTAGTTAGGGGCAACTGAACGAGAATTCCAGCTTCACAGGTTGACCCTGAAGTGCCATCACAGGGTGGTGGAAAGAACTGAAGAAATCTGTTTCTCCTCAGGTTAAAACATCTGACCTTTGGGAAGCCATTATCTAAGTCCTAACAGCCTTAATTGGGAGATACTTTATAACCACACCTGATTGTCCATACTAGGAACAATGTGTGGATTCTTTATAACACTATGGGAGAAAAGACAATTTTTAAAATGTGAGTTGCCAAATTATTTTAAATAAATACAAATTTTATTAATACTTGGATAGCATTTAGACTACTCCAAGTCAGAAATATAAACTGGCTATACATTTGTCTCATAACACTGGCATATAACTTATTGTTTCTAATTCAGAATCCTAACCAAGGCAGTTCAGAATATTTATTTTTTGAAAGAGGAATGCTGACTTGCAATGTGTAAAAACGAAAACTTTGTAAGCAAAGAGGTGGCACAGGGAAGCTGGAGTATAATTTTCAAGAAACTGAAGGTTCTTCCTGGATCAACATCCTCATCATATTTTCTACTTTTATTTTAGGAGGAGTGAGGTTAATTCTAGTTTTTCTATGTAAGACTCAGAGAAATTCAACTGTTAATTTTAACACTTGACTTTTAAGAAAATTCATTTATCAAGAAAGTTAGATATTGAAGAAATTTTTTGAGTCAGCAGGCTGGTGACTTGGATATCATCTCCTCTCTTAGTCAAGAATAATTACAACAATAAAAACAACTAATATTTAACATGTGCCAGGTATTTACATGCATTATGTCATTTAATCCTATCAACCCAATGAGATGAGTACTATTACTGGCATTTCTGTTTTACAGATGAAGAAATGGAGGCTTGGGGGGACAAGTAATGTGCCCAAAGCTGCATAGTGTGGGAGCTAGGATTTGGAACCACTGACTCAGCCTCCAGAGCAGGCATAGTGTACTATTCTGCATCATGAATAGACTAGACTAAAATAACTGGTCAATTTAATGTGTTGTGACTTACTACTATGGCCCCTTGACATGAGAAATCACAAAGATTGTTTTAAATTATTTGAGACCAAAACAATGACCAATGTATTTATTCCTTCCAGGATGGCTGCATGTATATATTATGGCTTAATGATATTTAAAATCATTTTGTAAGGAGCCATAACTCAAAATTATATTAAGGATGGTCATAAAACACGTTACATAATATACTAATTCTGTTTAAAAGATATTGCCAAAGTTATAATCACCAAACTTACTCCTGACATTGGAAGAAGATAAGTAAACAGTTGTCTTCCATCCAAATGCACAAAATTCCACAATACTTGTGCACCTGGGGTAATATTCTGAACATGAGTAATGTGATCTTTTTCTTATCTGCCTAGGGAATCCATTTGCCCTGGAGATAGGGTTTTGGCACTGTTTAGATGTTACAAAAGGAATGGAAAAAAAGAAATTAATATTTGGCTTCTGAAATTCAAAATAGCAACAAGACAATAGGCTTGAAATCCAGGCTATTGTTTTGAAAGCCAGTCTCTAAATTCCTTTATTTCTGCCCTTAGCTTGTCATCAACCAAACCTGGAAGACTTTGCTCAGTGTTCTGTACTATAGATCTCTGACTTCACGCAAAAACTTTCCAAGAAGTCCCAAAGCATGCAGAGTTTTACGGGAACTAATTTCTAGATCCTCAACTTCTACAAGTATGCAGTCTAAAACAGCTTTTCTGAGAACTGGTGCAGTCGAGATGCCATGCTGGTTCTTGGTTTCCACTTAGCTTTTCTTCCATCTTACCATAGATTGCCGAACCTCTCTTCCACCTTTACTTCAAATCCTGCATTGCCTGAATTTAAAAACCTCCTGGGGACCAAACATAGGAATAACTGAAAATACTGGGGATAGTATTGAGAAAGTGAATAGCTCCAATAACTGGATAACAAATCCTTTTAAAAATCAGGAGCTTTCCAAGTGCTTTCAACAAAATCAGAAACAAACCACTACCCAGTGGTCCACTGAGAAATTCATTAAAATGGTTTTCTTAAAAGAGTTCTCTTACCGGGCACAGTGGCATGTGCCTGTGTTCCCAGCAACACAGAAGGCTGAGGTGGGAGGATCACTTGCACCCAGGAGGCTGAGGCTTCAGTGAGCTCTGATGATGCCACTGCACTCTAGCCTGGGAGACAGAGCTAGACTCCGTCTCTTAAAAAAAGAAAGTTCTTCTTTACAGAAAAATGCTGGTTAATAAATACAGACTACTACAGTTAGAACACCATTTTTGCAACCCCCAGTGAAATAACTGACTCAGGAAAAGATCACAAAAGGTGTTCAAAGCATAAGATGAAAAGTTGTTGAACAGGTTCTTTGTAGCTTACAAAGTGCAAAGGGATGTGTGTCCTTTTTCAATAGAGTGATTGGGGGGGTCATCATCTTACCAAGTGACCAAATTTCACGTTACTAATAGTGAGATAAGCTGAAATTATGTGCCTAATATGAAACAATGTAACCTACTCAATGTTACTGAAGTATTCTTTCTAAAAATGTTTAACCTGAATATAATCAAATCTGTACATATAATGTCGAGGGTTTTTTTGTTTTTTGGTTTTTTTTTTAATAAAAAGGCAAGGGTTGGAGAAACAAGTTGTAAGATATTATGAGGAAATAATCAGCCAAATCGAGGATGCTGAATAGTCTACAAGACTAGCTTAGACTCATCAAAAAGTCAAATCATGAGATAAAAGGCTGCCTACCATAGTGAGTTACCTCCATGTTGAGAGCAGTGCTCAGGGTAAGGGACTTCTGCCTTGACTCCCTTTTTGAGACAACTGCCCAAGTCTCTCATACCCCATTCCTTGCATTTCTATGGCTGTTCAGGCCAAGTCCACAATAGCATAGTCAGACAGAGATATGACAATCAAGGATTCCAAGCCTTTCTGTTCCCTTGAAGGATGCTGAAATAACAGCCAGTAGGCCTGCCACAACCCCTGGTAGGGGCCAGGGGTACTGAGTCTGCCAGGGGAGGTGGCCAATACTCCCTGCGAGATTTTTCTGAATCCAAAGATGGGCCATGAGTTCACCAGGTACAGGCTTCAGCATCACAGGATAGCATGTTCCCCAGGGATCAGGCAGACGAGGGGTATGTATTAGGTTGTTCTTGCATTGCTATGAAGAAATACCTGAAATTGGGTAATTTGTAAAGAGGTTTAATTGTACACTTTTGCAGACTGTATAGGAGGCATGGTGCCCACATCAGCTCAGCTTCTGGGGAGGCCTCAGGGAGCTTTTACTTATGGCAGAAGGTAAAACAGAAGCTTGCATGTCACATGGCAAAAGCAGGATCAAGAGAGAGAGTTGGGGGTGGTGCCACACACTTACACAGCAGATCTTGAGAGAATTCACTCACTATAGTGAGAATAGCACCAAGACATGAGGGATCTGCCCCATGACCCTAACACCTCTCACTAGGCCCCACTTCCAATACCGGGGATTACAATTCAACATGATATTTGGCAGGGACATATATTCAAACTACATCAGGGTGTCATCCTGGAAACCTGAAAGTACCTCAGTGCATACTCTAGGTCCAGAATGAAGCCAGGAGGTACCCTCTCTCTCATCAGTGCCACAAGGATATGTAATTATACCCCCACTTCCCCCCAAACAAATGAACGTCATCTTCAGAAAAAAATGACAGGACCTCTTTGGGAGGTATTATGAAAGATGAAACATTTCATCCATAGGAGACTAATACTGTCTAAAGGAACTGAATGAAATTGAACTATATTTGAAACAGGATTAGACACTTTGGGTTTGTTTTTTTTCTGTAACCTAACAGGTTGTGGTGGTTTTAAAATACATCCACAAATTCTTTGATATGCCTTCAAAGAATGCATCTAAGGTCTGGCTGCCATATCAGCTTTTAGATGTGAAACCTAATCCACCTCCCCTTGAATGTGGGCTAGACTTAGTTACTTCTTTCTAATAAATAGAATGTGACAGAAGTGGTTCTGTGACAGTTTCTACCTGGCTCTCACCTTCTTGGATTACTTATTCTGGGCAAGCCAGCTACCACGTCATAAGGAAACTAAGCTGCCTTGTGAAGAGGCCCACACATAGCAAACTGAGGCTTCTCACCAACCAGCACCAACTAGCCAACCTTGTGAGTGAGCTGCCTTGGAAGGAGATTCTCCAGCCCTAGTCAAGTGACCGTACCCCTAGCCGATATCTCAACTACAGCTTTGTGAGAGACCTGAAGCCAGATGGCCTAGTTAAGCTGCTCCTAAATTCCTGATCCACAGCAACTATGACATAATGTTTTTGTTTGCTTGCTTTCTTTTTTAAGCTCTGTTGAATTTGATATTATTCTTTCAATATACTAAACTGTGGGGAATTTTCTTATGCAGTAATGGATTAAACTCTAGACAAAATAAAGAATCTACATTTTCATGAGATATCTGTAGTGAGTTAAATAAGTGTCTTTGCTCTACATGTGTATCCCTAATGTGGAAGATACATGGTTTTATTATGACATAGAACATTAAGAAGGGGAGAACATAATTAGGCACATAACACCATTGTCTAAAAAAAAAAGAAATCCCCTTAAGTTGAGATGGATTTATTATGACTCAGAGGAAGTACAGGGAACTCAAGAACTAAAAGTGGCAGCCAGACTTTAGACTGGACTGAAACAAGGGTCCTGAAAGCGGTAAGACCCAAGTAGTTAGTGACTCTCTTTCTCTAGCAGACCACATGGCCTACTGCCTCCAGTTCTCTCTGTCTCTTCATTAGCTGCATTCACCAGCTTCTCTTGAGATCAACTAGTTCTGCTTGTCCCTTATTGTATTACTGGCCCCAAAATGGCTGCCCCTAAAGGTGGCCTGGGATCTGAAATTCACATGTCCTTATAAATTCAATGCGCCTGTCAGAGTGACCCAGTCTCTCAATGTTCTGACTCTAAATTCTGAGGAGGCAGAGTCTGTTTGACCCAGCCTAACTCAGATACAGAGCCAGATCCAACCAGCTGGGAGAACGGGATGGAGAAGAGTTCCCATACTACCTTCTCAGCACTCTCTAAAAAGGCCTGTTGGTCAATTGTATAAAAGGCAAGGGCAAACAGAGGGAAGAATGACTGATAGATGAAATGACTGGTATCTTGGTGTATCTGTTTCTAAAATTTCATTAACTTTCCAGAATGAGTCTGCCAATAGCTCTGGTCTAAACTCCCCAACCCCTATGACCTCCATTTCACTTCCATTTGAATCACCTGCTGAATAAACATGCCCTTCACACTGCGTGTACTGCCTCTGTGGCTTAGACTTGTCACAGTTTCTCTGCCTTGTCCTCCTTGTGAACATCTACTCCTCTTTTCAAACCCTGCTGGGTTTTAGCTTATCTATAGTTCTATTTCTCTACCACTCTGTATCCTTCCAAAATAAGTTACTTACATTTTCCTTTTCGCTATAGTACTTTAATTTTCACATACACTACTTATATGATTGCATATATCATATTGCATTGACTTTCATAGATTCTTGTAGGGTGGATGTCATCCAATTCATCTTTATACCTCTAGGATCTAAAACAGCAAAGTAGGTGCTCAGCAACAGTGTACCAGCACACTGAATAAGCATGACTTTTGAGATTAACCTAAAACCACTTAATTTGTATTTTCCACTGTCCCTTTGAAAACACCCTTCAAGGGTGTTTGGTTGCAAGGTTGGTTCTTCTCTTATCCCTGAATTAAAACTTGGGTGGTCCTGTTACTTTTTCTGGTCACTTTTAGTTAAGAGATGTTAATAACTAAAATATCCAGTCCTGTATAACAGTCAAAAGTTGGCACCTGACTTAGTTTAGGCATTTCTCCTTTCTCTCAGTTTGTACCTTCTGTAGATAGGGAAGCCTAGATTTAGCAAAAGAGTGTGGCCACTTCTCTTTTTTCCTGACTTGTTTCCTTAGATCTTACCCCTCCTAGTTTCTGATCCCTCCAGCGTTTGAGAGGAGGATGAGCAATACATCTTACTTTGTTGGTACTATCGTGAGCTGCCATCAGTTTCCCTGTACCTCACAGGTATTAAAAACTGATTCCTTATATCACGAGAACTTATGTGGGTTTGGGGGGACAAAACTCTACTTCTATGAACTCTTCAACTATATCTCCTTTGACTAGCTGGCCACTTACCTAACTCCAGAAAGACTTTTAGCTTTTCCCTGCTGAAGTCTACTCCTCTCTTTGGGTGGTCATCTTGGTCAGGTCCAGTGATGACTTGCTGCTGGCTTCTCTTGTCTTTTTTTTTTCCAGTAACATTAGCCAGGTTAATGGTGGGGTTTCGCCATGTTGCCCAGACTGGTCTGGTCTTGAACTCCTGAGCTCAAGCGATCCTCCTGCTTTGATCTTCCAAAGTGCTGGGATTACAGGCGTGAGCTACTGTACCTGACACAAATTTAATTTCTTGCATCCCAAAAAGAGGCAGAAAGAAAGATGGACTGGATACCCTCATTTATAGAACTGGAACCCCATACTGGTACAACATGAAAGTTTCTGAACAAGGTCCAACAGGTATTTGATATCCACAAAGCACAAAAGACCTAACTATACATATTTTTTTCCAACTGGACTTAGCCCCTTTCTCCTTTGCTTTCTGAGCAAAAAAAATACTACTGGCCTCTAGAAGATGAAATAGCCCTTAAGAAACTGAAGCATTACTTGTCTTTGGCTCTAGTCCTGGCTCACTCTAACTCATAGAAACCTTTAAAGACAGAGATCAATCTGTCCAGCATTCCTATCTGTCCCAGGAAGACTCTCGGTCACTCATGTGTGCCTGCTTTTCAAGAAAAGGAACCCAATTAAAGACAGGTAACTTCACATGGCAAAAGATATTCTTGGCCATTATCACTATCTTTTTTGTCTTATATTCAATAACTAAAGTAGTATGGTGATTTCAACTTCTGAATTATTTATAAACCTAGAAACCAGAATTGCCCTACTAGCAAGTAATTTGTCTCTTAGAAGCTGAAATTCCTGACCATGCCACTTCTCCTATTCCAAGTGATTCTCTGTTCCCTGAAAGGCTACAAAAACAGGCTTGAACCTCACCTTTCTCACCTGTTACTAATAACAAAACCACTTGTGTGGTCAGAGCAGCCACATCAACCCTGATAGGCTACAGGAAAAAGCTTCATTATCAATGCCCTGCTGCACATGCATTCCCATGTATAGCAGCCTCTCATTGGAAAAGAACACCCACATTTCAATCATGCCTTGATGCCCTCCCCAACCAATGAGGATTGCAGGTTGTAAAGGTCCGCCCCAACCCACTACTGCCATTGGCCCTGCTGATGGCCCAAGATTCACTATGTGTAATGCAATAAAGACATCACTATCTGTGTTGCCTGTGCTGGATCAAAAGACCAGCTTGGGAGACTGAAACTTTTCTATCTCTACAGCTAATCCTGTGTATCTCTGGCAATTATACTAATGGTTTTATCAATGATCTTTCCCAAATTAGTATGTCAACCCCATTCTTATCACAGTGGTCTCCCTCCTGAATAGAGCTCATGATGCCCTACTTATCTGCCTGTCTCAAGTTCTAAACTTTATTCCTCCAGAAATTGTTCAAATATACAACCATCCAGCTCAAGAGATCTTAAGCCACAGGTTTAATATATTTTCTCCTTCTAGAGGGAACTGTTTTTTTTGTTTGTTTGTTTTCCAAAACGGAGTCTTGCTCTATCGCCTAGGCTGCAGTGCAGTGGCACCATCTCAGCTGACGGCAACCTCTGCCTCCTGGGTTTAAGCAATTCTCCTGCCTCAGCCTCCTGAGTAGCTGGGATGACAGCGCATGCCATCATGCCCAGCTAATTTTTGTACTTTTAGTAGAGACAGGGTTTCACCATGTTGGCCAGGCTGGTCTTGAACTCCTGACCCCGTGATCCGCCCGCCTCGGCCTCCCAAAGTGCTGGGATTACAGGCGTAAGCCACCATGCCTGCTCCTAGAGGGAACTCTTAAAGCAGTGGCTCTTAACCTTAGTTGCAAAATGGAGGGCTTTACGAAAATATTGATGTCTGGGCTCCACTCACAGAGATTCTGATTTAATTGGTCTAGGGTAAAGCCAGGGCATTAGGATTTTTTTAAGCTCCCAAGGTGATTCTAATGTGTGGGCGTGGTAGAGTACCTGTCTTAAAGTTCCCTAAATACAGACGGACCTAGGATGCATAGAGCATCCACAATTCAACTGGTAGGTGGCATGTACTATATACTAAGTCCTATGCTACCTTGTTTTGTCATTACAATAATCCTATGCCACAGGCACTATTATCCTTATTTTACAAACAAACTGAGACTCAGGTCACACAAAGTGACTGGCAGACCCTAAAGTCAAAAGCGCAGGTCTGATTCCCAACTGTACACACTTTATATGATGTCATATCGAGACGTCATGCTTCTCAGAGCTGGATGATCCCACTCCCTAAAACAAGACACCCAGGCTTCAACCCTGAAATCCTATTCCATTGCCTCCATGGGTTTTTCCTGCAGCATCTTCCTATGCACTTCACACATATAGCGCAGCTGCCAGGATATACTGTAGGCTGCCAAAATGGAATGAAGTCACTTTCTTGGCAAGTGACTACCATGCCTGGCTCTTTACTGAAGTACTTCCATTCTATATATTCACGCCGGGATCCTTCTCCATCACTGCTAGCTTCAGTCCTGTGGCTTTCCATATTTAGCTTTTCTTACAGATGAAGTGATATTGTTTACCTATCAGCCATTCCTTTGTTGGAGTAAAATTACGTATTCCATCAGCATTCCTCTGCCTTGTACTCCAGATAGTATACAAAGAATCAAAATATACTAGCTAAGTGGCATAGAATTGCTGCCAATATCAAGATGGACTCTAATATCTAGTGAACTGGGAGGCTAGAGGCTAGAAGTATGTACTTTTGAAAGGTGTCAGTGACACATCTGAGTAATGTAGTAGCTAAATGCCACCATTTCATTCCGGCTAAAGGGTAAAGCTGGTGAGAGGTGGGAAGGGCCAGGAGGCTCCATCGGAAGGAGGCAGACGCTTCAGGTGTTGGGTGGTACCTTTAAGATGTTGCGCGGCCAAATCCAATGCCTGTGCAGGTGTCCCATATATCCTGAGAGACAAAAAGAGGTCAGATTAGTCAGATCCCTCGAGACAGTTCCCAAATCCCTGACTTCTGTTACCGCGACTGTTCTTCCCAATTCCACCTCGGCCTGTGTTCAGGACTGTGGCTTTTAGAATCTTCCCCATTCCATTCCATTAGGGGCGTCCCAATTTCCACCTTATATAAATAACACCATGTACTAAATGCATGCCACGTCTGCCTGTTTATAAACATGCACAAGTTCACACTCTTTTAAGACAAATGTTCTCTACTGTCAAATTCTTTCGTCTGGCCTCCCAGGTAGGCTATAGAGCTACTGCCTTCATTTACCTCTCAAATCTTCCCATCTTTTCCTTCCCACGTCATTACCTTAGCTCACACTCATATCCTCTTGGTCACCAGCCAAAAAATAAATAAAACCTTTGGCCCTTCAGATTTCTGTCTTATTCTACAACCTCACTGACCGGCTCTCTCGCTCCCACTCCTTTACTACTTGATTCGCTGAAACCTCCCCTCACAGAGTTCACGGCCAATATAAAAACGGAAAGTAGGGACAACCACACAAGCTTGTGGACTTTTGCCAGAAAAATCTCATAGAATGTGGTGTTGTGTACTTGAATCCATCAGATTAACGCGACGGACACTCCCCAAGGGCCAAATCGCGCCGCCTCCCACTAGGCGGAACGTTTTGAAACTTTTGCGCGCTAAAAAATGATGAGCCAGACGCATGCGCAAACGTGCCCTCCCGAGGTCGCGCTTCTCCTCAGGCAGATCTCGCGTGGTTTGGGGAAGGCGGGCCAGTAGAAAGGTTTTCCGTGGCGTTGAGATTCCCCCCGCCCTTTTTTTTTTTTTTTTTCCTTCTTGCTGCACCAGTGGATTAGGATTAGTGCTGCAGTCAATTGAAAAAGTTCAAGATAAAAAATTAGACTAATATAACTAGCCGACAGGCTAGCGGCATTTCTCTGGGGCCGAGGAATTCCACGAAGATCTCTGCGAGGCCCGGGGGAGGCCGCACAACTAGTTCTTCAGAAACAAATTTTTTTTTTAAAGTAAAAATAAAGAAAGTCAGCCAGTTTATCACCTTGGAACCAGCGTTTTGTTTGGCTTTTCCGCTTTTCACTCTACAAAAAAGCCCATTGGCAGCTACCCAGGTTACCGTCCTGTTGCAATTGCGCCTGCGCGGCGGTTTGTTTACCAGCCCGGGCGAAGCGCTGTGTCCCGGTTCTCGCCGCCCCGAGCGCCTTGGTTTGGTCCCTTGACGTGTAATTCATAATGAAAGTCATGTTTTCATTTGGGAACACGGATCGGAGGCTTAAAACTGGACAGTTTAAGTGTCAACTTGAGACCAAGGAAAATAATGGTAGTGGAATCGGTGCCGAGTCAGAGCCGTCACCGAAGAGGTTGATAATGAACCTGAGGAAAACAATAGCACCACCCTGACCAGAACTAGAAAGTGGCAAGCAGCCACAGTTAATCAGACTCATAGGTGGTATTTAGTTACTTATTTAGAATGTAGGCCCAGTTATGGTAAAATGCAAGTAAGACCAAACCTAAGTTCATCTTGCTGGAGCAAACCTCGAGCAGTACCTACATGATTTAAGACTGACTTGAAGCAAAGTTAAAAAAAAAAAAGGCAGCCATGCAAATTTTGAAACTTAGAGACGACTCCAGAAGCATTAACCCAAGAAAGCACAAACCAACAAACAAATTTTTGAAATGGTTTGAAGATCTCTTCAAAGGCAGTTTCAGGTGGCTTAGAAGAGGATGTTGCTTATAAAGTGAAATCTGATGGAAACTTGTTTTACAGATATGACTGGATTCGTTTGAAAACAAAAAGAGGCAGGCAAACTGACTTTTTAAAAAGCATTTTTATGGAAGGATTTCTAATGATACATTTTAATGTGCTCAAAAACAACCTTAAATAACTGGTAGATTTAGCCAAACCTGGATCATTATTATCTTAGAGTTGGATGAAAGCATAAATGTTAACAATTTGGCAATTTTATTGGACTCTGTTATGTTTGAATGGTGAATTTGAAGTCTTCAACTTGTAACAAGAAATTTTCTACAAGGACAGTGGGATTTTCAAGAGATATGAAATTAAGCAGAGAATATGTATGGACATGTGAGCAGATGGAGCCAAATTTTGAAAGCTTTCGATGTGCCCAGCATCGGTCACAGAAAATCCTTTTATCTCAGGAAGCTAACCTCTGGATTTTCTCATGTTCAATATGATAAAATTCAGTAAATCCAGCTGTTTGAATACCTTTTAACACAAATTTGTACCAAAGTGGGAAGTAACTTTAAAATTCCACTCCATTATCTAGGGGTACTCTGACTTGGTTAAGGTAAGGTGAAAGTCGGTTTTCCAAGCCAGTTTTGAACTGGCATTTTCATCATAAAGAAAAAAAAAATGCAGATAAAGTGAATGGGTATCTTGTTCACTTTAATGATTAAGACTAACTCAGCAAGCTGGCTTACTTTGTCAAGGCAAACAACCAGTATTAAACAAACTGAATACTCTCATTGCACATAATGAGAAGGCTTGAATGAAAATTAAGTATGTGAGTGGAAGAGCTGATAAAGAACAGTGACTTCTTTGAGACTCCCAGTTCATTTACATGTGATGAAAATTATAGTGTAAGAATAGTAAGTTGTCAAATAAAACATTTTTCTTCACTGAATAAAAATCTTTGGTGAGTAATAGAAACTGACTGATGGATTGGTAATTTAGTCTGCCCTATGACTCAGAAAATATACTTACCAAAATTTCCATTATCGGTAGCTGAAAAAGTTAATCATGCCATTTCTTTAGCCAGTATTCTGGGCATGCTCCCCTGTGATTACCCTGATACTGTAAAGTAGTGAAAAAACTGATGCCATCTGTATCCACGTATTTATGTGAATCTGAGTTATCGAATTATCGTGACCCCAGGACAAACAAAAGAAATTGCCAAATAACGAATCTGATATGCATCCCTAATTACTCAACACAATGTAACCTTACTTATTAACTGAATGATAGGACTTTTTTTCATGATAGATAAAGCATTTTTTTTTTTTTTTCTTGAGACAGTCTTGCTCTGTCACTCAGTCTAGAGTGCCATGGCTCGATCTCGGCTCACTGTGACTTCTGCTTCCTGGGTTCAAGCGATTCTCTTGCCTCAGCCTCCCAAGTAGCTGGGATTACAGGCGCATGCCACCATGCCCAGCTAATTTTTTGTATTTTTAGTCGAGACGGGGTTTCACCATGTTGGCCGGGCTAGTGTCGAACTCCTGACCTCGTGATCTGCCCACTTTGGCCTCCCCAAGTGTTGGGATTACAGGCGTGAACCACTGTGCCCAGCCCAATTTATGTAGCATTCTACAGTCACTCCTAACTAATGCATAGAGAAGAGTTTGGGAGATAGGGAATAGGGAAGGTGAAGAATTTGGCTTATCACAGTCAGTATGAGCACTGAAATTAACTTAATCCCCAGGGAAGAGAAAGAATGAATTTAGCCAGGCGCAGTGGCTCACACCTGTAATCTCAGCACTTTGGGAGGCCAAGGTGGGTGGATCACGAGGTCAGGAGTTCGAGACCAGCCTG